GATTTGCAAATACAGTCTAGGGAAAAAAAGTACATAACAATACATGGGAGCATGACCTGGGAAGGATATGAGGGGGAGTGGAGACCTTCAGCAGAAACCCAAGAGGCCAAGCGCAGACCTCTGCCAGCCCCTCTCCGATGGAAAGCCACTGTGCTCTGAGGGCAAGGGGAGACATCTGACCAATACTTTCCGGCCAAAGTAATAATTTCCCACAAAATACTGCATTCCCAAAGAGTTTGACTGAGTAATTCTGGGTCGGTTACTTCCAGAAATGTTGAATCATTCTGTCTGGATAAAATGCATTGCTTTGAGAGAGAAAAGGAATGCATTAAAGCTATTCTGTTGATTAACTAGGACTTTCGCCTTATGTTGAATATTCATTCCAATATTAGAGATGTGCATATATTTTTCCCAGTGGCATGGATGTGGATGCATTACTGGAGCATTTTAAGTTCATTTAAAATGCAAACCCAAGACATATCACAAGTAAAATCAAAACACTGAGGCTCCTTCCAAAGAAAACAGCAGATCTCCTTTTAAGCCATACCAAAGATATCAAAGCCAAGTTTGATACATTCCTTGTGATTCTGTTGTTATCACTGTTGTCATCAACATGATCCCAGGAAATGCTGCAATTGTTTAAACACGTCTTTTTCCAGGCTTCACTCAAGCCCAGATGATAATGGATAAGCTCCTAGTTTCCCACATAACACAGCAGTTTCATTTCTTTTTTTTCTTTTTTTTTTCTTTTTTCTTCTTTTTTTTTTTTTTTCAGTTTGCGAAATAACCTGAGAAATGTGATCCCAAAGAGAAACCACAAAGTCAAAGGTAATCTCAGAAGTAGGGATGCATCGTCCACGCCAGTGCAACTGCTTCCTTCACTGCACCCTCTCCTGCAGCATCCCACCTCATGCTTTCCACAGGCTCCCCGCTCTCGAGCCCTACTGTGAAGGGCTCAACTCCTTCCCACTCCCTCTAAAACCTAAATGCACAGAGGGGAGAGGCAGCAGGCCAGGCTGTATCTCTCCCTTCTCTGAGGACAGGATTCCTGAGCAATTGGAGGTGAATAAGCATTTGCTTTGTAGGGGCCTGGCATAGATTTATCATTTTTTGCATGCCCAGTTTGAGAAACCCCTGGCTTCGTTTGCAGAAGGGCTGGCATTTCCCAGCTAGAGTTGCTCAAGTGGTTGTTTTTTTTCTATTAGAAATGGTCGCCAGAGAGCTAAAAAATAAAAGCATCCTGTATCAGAGCAAAAAGCAGAATTGTAATCAGTTTGGTACATTGAGGCTCCTCAGCTGCTGCCTCCTCCTGCCTGCTCAAGTCCCTCGGACATACCTCAAGATTCAATGATCAAACAAGCAGACAACATTTGGATAAAGCAAGCTGAAATGCCATGGGAAGACGCCAAAACCCAGGCCTGTGCTCTGACCTCCAGGATGGCACATTTCAGCAGCAGTCGAGGCTGCAAGGATGCAGCATTGCTGTAAGGTGGCCACTACTGCTGGGATGGTACCTTGCTCCCCTGTGGCCCTGTGCACCATTCCCCAGAGCACTCCCATGAAGCCAGGTCCTTGCTGCAGCATGTGGCTTTACAGGCAGCTCGGATACCTGCCTTATGCCAGACCAATGCTTGTATCTGACCTCCCCTCCTTCACTATCAATTCCTGCGGTGGCTTTACTGGCAGGCACAGGCTTGCTGGGTGACAGACACATTGCAGCGGGCTGGGATGGGGATGGTACCCAGAAGGGCATGTTATCTGCAGGTTCAGTAGCATGGAGATGGGTGTAGAAGTATTGCTGCAGTCTGCTCCTCCTCTCTAGTAGCTGCTGAGCTCAGTTGCATCTGGCAGACCCTGTATCTGGCGTTTGCTATTTTGGGCAGCGCTGTCTCAGTGGAGGTGGGGAATAGTGTGGGGAGCACAGCCCAGACACAGCAAAGACATTCAGGACAGCTGCAATCTGCAGAAACTGCAGGTCCCTGTGCAAAGCCATTTCCACATTCATTGCAATTATCACACTATTAAGGTCCCCTGCCTTTCTCAGGACATAAGCGCCTAACAGATGTACGAACCCCACAAATGTGTTGGCATGTGATGGACTTCTCAGTCTTGGCTGACATGCTGTTGATGATGATTTCTGACTGCAGCCCGTGTGCCAGAACTTCAAAGTGCTCCTGCGTGACAAGAAAGCAGCGCAAAAGGAGGCAGGATGCTCCTGCCATGCACCTTGGTTGCTTTCCATGTGCCTCCATCAACTACAAGATCTCATGCTCCGGCTTGTCCTACAGCCCTGTGGGAGAGCTGAACCACGGTGGGATGGGCTGGCTCTCTCTATGCACCATCTGTTTTCGAGGGTGGCATGACCCCTGGCCACTGGCTGCCATCACTTTGCTTCAAGGGTGGTGGCAGTGGGATGTGGAGTTTTTGCTGGCTGGCAGGTGCACCGGGCTCAGCACCCAGGCTGCTGGGGTGGCTTTGGCAGGCTGACAGGTGGTTATTTTCAAACTGAGTCTCACACACAGATATTTTGTTCTTTCAACAGGAAAAATGCTTGTGCTAGACCAGAGTAAGGAACAGGAGAGGAGGAGGAGTGCCAGTTTCCCACGGCTGACTTACCACCTTGGCAGGTGGCTCTGTGCGTGCTCTGGCCAGTCAGCAACTTGGGGTAGGCAACCTTTGGTGCCTGCGCTAGCCCCCTCCTCCAGCATCAGCACAAATACAAGGAGGGGCTGCTGCCAGGGGAGGTTACTGCCTCCACCTGAATCACCATAGCACTGTCCAAAGCATCTGTGCTCCCCTGGATGGGGAGTAAGGGGATGTGCTTGAGCATATTTGTCTACTGCACGACTTGAAAGGCACAGCTGAATTCAAACTGTCCGGGAGAGCAGAGCAAGATGTTGGGAATGAGCAGCAAAGCATCTTATGAAGCAGTTGGAAGCACCTTTAAACGCAGAGGCTTGAAATGCTCCAGAGATCTGAGCACGCATGGGTTTTATGACACCTAGGCTGAGCAAATCATTGATGCTTAGCAGCAGGGGATGGCAGCCACATCCACCTTTCTGGAACTTTGCCAGCAGTGGGCTGGGGGAATGGATCTCTAAGGGATGGTGATGATGCTGCCTGATACACGCAGATAGCAGGCACAGGCTGTCTTGGTCAAGTAAACTCACTCCCTTTGCCCTCTCTGAGCCATGCTATCATCTCTGCCAGATGCCGAGCTGGAAACCATAACCCACTGCCCATCCCTGGCTCCACTGATGCAGTGGCATCACCCAGGGTCCCCATCGCAGCCCTGTGTGAGTGCTGAGCAGTCAGCGCTGCCAACAGGAGGAGAAGCGGTCCAGCATCCCGGCAGGAGAAGAGACGGGAGCTGCCAGTGGTGCCTGCTGGCACTAGGGGTGGAAGAGAGGGAAAGGCCATGAAGTTTTGGGGCCCACCTGGAAAAACAATATATTTCCCATGTGCTACAGACCAGCATGTACATGTATACACATCTATCATGTGGCTGCTTTAGCTGCTTGGGGACATGGTGCATCATGATTCTTTCATTTGCAATACAAGAAAAACATGTACCATATGGAAATTCACAGATGGAAAATATATTTGTTTTCCTGTTTGAGAGGTAGAAGAGGGAAGTAAAGCCTGGAGGGAGAAGGCAGGACTGGCCATAGAGGGTCTTGGGAAGGGTGTGGGACACAGACATGGCAGATCTGCCCAGACAAGGAGACAGTGAAAGATGTTTGTTATCACACCGTAACTTATAAATTAATCTTAGGGAAAACCAAAGCATTATGCAAGCCAAGTACCTTCCCTTTTAAAAAAAGAAAGCTTAGAATCATTCAGGAAGTGCATCGGTCATTGGGACCTTCTCTAAATAAAATTAAAAATTATGATGATGCAGATGATGCTGCTGATAATAATAAAAATAATAATAATAATACTAATAGTAATGAACCTTTGTATACAACCCCCACCTTCCCTCCAAGCAGCCAAAAAGGTGTGGAAGGATGCAGAGGGAAGGATGGGGCTGGAGTTGGTGGGGTGACCCAGGAGAAGAACAGTCAGAGCCCATTGGTAGCAGAGCTGCACAGACATTTATTGAACACAAACAACGACAAACACAGCCAGCTCACAGAGCTTCCTGAGCTATCGTCCAAAGGTTTTGCTCATGGGGATTGTCAAAAGAGTGCTTTCAAAGGCCCCTGGGGGTGTGAATCCTGTACAGCTAAATTCTTCCCACTTTCAGTTGATCATAAGTTAAAAAAGAGGACCATTTGTGTGTGTGTATGTGTGTGTGTGTGTGAGAGAGAGAGAGAGATTTGCTTCGTTTAGAATGAAAAATGGCTTGTCTGGACCCTGCCATGTTGCAAAGAGAGAAGTCTGTGGGTGAACCCGTGCAGGCATGTTGACTTGGCTCACGCACATTCTGCTTCCCACATAACACGGGGTGAAAACTACGCTTTACCATGAGGGCAGGCATGTGAAGTTGGAAAGGTGAGCCAGGACAAGCAAAGGAACAAAGAGGGAGCATCAAAGGAAGAAGGGTGACCAAAGTAAGTACTCTGAAGCACACACAGCTCTGGGTGGTGTCACATGTCCATAGGCTACAGCAAGTACTGCCAATGTCAACTCAAACGTGTAAGTAGCTATGCTAGACTGACACTAGAGACCCTGTCATCTTCTGAAGTCTCACCAGCGGGAAAAACCCAACCCCCCTCCCTGTCCCCCGAAAAGCAGATGAAGTAATAACACCGTACACTGAAAACAAGGACCATAACCAAAGAGTTTGGGAGCAGCCTCAGGAGCACCGTAAGGAACTTGTAAAGAAATGTTCCAGTGTGTGTATATGCGTATTTATAGATATATATATATTCGTTAGTAAAGAAAAGAGATCTGTGGAGGCAAAGGGAAGACGGTAAATGTACAGGCAGTACAGGCTGGGTGGAGTGCCGTGGCTGGAGAGGGTCAGGTGGTGCGGAGTGGAGGATGGTGGGTGGAAATTAGAGTGCGCCCATTCCAGTGACCTCAGACGTCAGCCTAGAATAGACAGGGGCAGAGAGAGGGGTGGGGGGAGACAAAAACAAGCACTTAATTACTGGAGCAGAAAAGAAAACGAAGACCCTGCAGGGCAGCACTTCTCTTCTTGCCTACACCCCGCTCAAACTGGGGGCAGAGCATCCCCGAGTGGCTTGAGTGTATGGGGCTTGGAGGACCCCGTGGAGGGCGCAGGGAGCTGGAGCATAGAGCCAGCTCAATGCCTGGCTGCCTTGCCTTCTCCTCGCTGCTGCTGGTGCCATCCCTGGCACCACATTGTGGCAGAGGTGCCACCCACCAGGTGTGCTGGCAGGAGACATCCCATCACACGGCTTCACTTCTACCAGCATCCCTCTCACAGAGGTCAGGCAGATGTCCCAGCTCCCCTAGCTTCTTTGTTTTGCTCTGGTTTTTAAAACCATGGGAGAGGCTGAGCTGTGCCCTATCCTGCCTGCTGCCAGGTCATCTCTGCCTCTGCCACAGCACAGGCTGCAGCTCAGCCAGCCCTTCCCAGTAACGAAGAGCTGCTCGTTTTTCTTTTCTTTGTCTCTTGTCTCAAGAGGTGGGGGGGATTGGCAAGGAGCTGCAGGGAAAGACGCTTGGCCATGTCCACAGGTGTGGGGCTGGCCCCATCCCTCTCCTGAGCGGCTGGAGAGGTGCCACGGGTGTGGGCAGAGGGGCAACAGGGCAGGATGGGATGGTGGAGGTTTGTTAGGGTTGGGACTGAGGTGGGTTGGGTGCAAGGAGGAGAAAGCACATACAGACCTCACCGATGCTCCCAGCCCACTTGCCAACAAACGTCGGAGTCGCCGTCAACAGCACCCTGTCCTCAGGACCCTGTCGGCAGCTGTTGGTGCGGCACCAACTCTGCCCACGGCGAAGGGCACAGATGGGTGGATGGCCTCAGCTTGCACAGCTGGGCCAGGCAGGCGCGAAGCCAGCAAAAGGCCCTGCTTCCCCTTAAGCTCCCCGTGCACGAGTCCATAGGCGCAGGCAAACAGGTCTGTGTGAGCACCGTGGACACGGCTCACCGCTGGCACGGAGCTGGTCCCCAACCCATCTCCAGCTACACCTCCCCTGTACGTTCCACTTGCAGTCCCTTGCTGAACCTCCCCCCACCCCGCCATGCACAGGCAGCATCACGACATGGACAGAGGTGGCGTTGGGAGCGCTTGGCCCCTGCAAAGTCCTGCTGCGCCAAACTTTTTAGCATGAAAAGGAAGCGATCAGGCCATTCCCATGTCTTGCATTTATTGGACTGATTATTTTCATTGGATGGAGGAAAGCCTTTGGGAGGCCTGGAAGCACATGGAAGAGACTCTGAGGTGGCAGTAAGCGATGCTCGGATCCCAGTGAGCAGGTCCCAAGTGATGCCTTCCCAACACTGGCTCAGCTCCGTCCCCATGCCCGTTCCCATCCCCTGCCTCGTCCACAGAGAAAGACGGTGGTGATTTTGCCTACCCACAAGCAAAATCCACAAGCGAGGGTGGTGGGTGGGCAGGCAACCGGCGCAACCCGCGACCGCTCCACTGGCAGTGAAGCAGCTCCCAGTTCCCAGCCAAAGTGCCAGCTGGGGGGAGAGGTCCTGCTGGTGACATGTGGTCCCCGCTCAGAGGTCTCAGCAAGCCACCATCCATCCCAGATGGCCTCAGGAAGCCCCTCCTGACCTGCAGTGCCAGGAGCGAATGCTGCTCCCACCACGCCAGCAGGATGGGTTTGACTGTGGCAGGAGGCGGTGGAGGTTGACAGGGGGTCTCACCTGGCGTTGATGAGGTACTGAGCAAGGCTGATGTTTGCAGGGGTTCCTGTGATGGTAATTTGGCGCTCCGATGACCCTTCCGTGGCGCTGGCGATTTTGATCTGTGCTCCTGACATCTGCCGAATTTCATTGATTTTGGTCCCTTGGCGTCCAATTATGCAGCCTATTAGCTAGAAAAAAAGCACGGAGGGAACGTCTGAGAAGCGACAGCTGTGGCAGTCACTGGTGGGATGTGAGCACAACTGCATGGCTCTGGCCAGAAGCCTTCCTCCCTCTGCCCTGGGGCATGAGTGACCTTAATGCTCATGAGAAAAGGAGAGGGACAGCCCATGGGTGAATCCCACCTGCACGTGAGCACAGTCCTCCCAGGACGTGTCCAGCAGCTTGCCCTGCCCTCCTCCTTGGGTGGCAAATTTCAATTATCCGCACATGATGCCCAGCGTCTCAGAGGGCTTCAAAAAGGGCGAGGTGTTATAACAGGCTCATTTTGGTAATTATAATTTTCATGGTCTAATAATTGGTCAATGTTTTGCAAGGATGGGAATAAGTCATGTTTCAGACTGTGCTCCGCACTTATCCCCTTGCCAATCACAGCAGACCTGAAGGTGTTTATACAGGATGTGATACCAGAAGAAAACAAGCCTGCCACCTTTCCTAGGGACAGCCCAACCCCAAGAGCCCCCTCATCAGCTGGTGCAGCCACACACCATTGATAACTTCACATTGCTCACCCCATCCCACGCTTCTTCTACCCTGCTGGGACACCCTCACTGCCTCTGTTACCCCCTTCAGCTCTTTCGGTGCAAAGCAAGGGCTCGCTGGCATGCGCATCATTGACAGGAGAGCACCACATGGCTGTGGCACCAGCAGAAGAGAATCCTCCTTAAAAATATGTCTTTCACACTCTTGTGAAAAAATTTGAACTGGCTGGAAGCTTGAATTTCCTCAATTGCCCATCCCTTGAATTTCCTCAGTGGTCGTCAGTGGCTTGAATTTCCTCAATGGCTTGAATTTCCTCATGGTCTTCATCTTTGCTCTCGCTCATTTGTGCATCAAGCTATGGTTCCCCCAAGCACCTCTGCAGCTTGGTAACACATGCCAAGATGTCCAGCTTTACAAACACAGCATGAGGTGTTTCCGCATGCCCTTCTTGGCCATCAGCATTTAAGCTCCTTCCAAGGTCGCACCTGGGAATTTTATATGTGGGACGTTCATCTTGGCAGCTGCTGGATTTCTGTCACTGTAGAAGTGGAGACTAGAAGTGGATACAACTACTCCTCCAAATGTTCCCTGGTCCTGTTGTCAGACCATGGGATTTTTCGCATATGGACCTGAATATATACACCACTGCAGAACTGGAAGGGTATCAGCTATCTCAGGGGCTGCAGTGGGATGTTCAGCCCAATAATCACCCATCGTGGTCTTCACAGTGCAGAAATAACACAGAGGTGTTTCAGCAAATGAAAATCCCTTACATCCAGGAAACTGCTGGAGAAATCCAGGGAGCCAAAGCTATTTGGAGAGATGTTCAGCAACATCTAAGCATCTCTGCACAGCATTCAAGTTTCTCCTGTCAGTCAGAGGAGCGACAAGATGGATATAATCAGATTTCCTTGAGCTGCAGTGCAACCACAAGCTGATGTAAACCACAAAACAAAACCTGTAGACCCTTTGCTTTAAGAAACCCAAACCTGTCCTCCACTTCCAGGGAAGGTGGCAGGGAGTGTTTGAGAGCCTTCAAAACAACAGGAGGCAGAGCTAAGGAGGCATTTTTCAGCAGGTAGAAAGATGCGGGTGATGACATTTAATATTGCGCAGGTCTGATGAGCGCTGAGCTCTAAGTGCTCCCAGATCCCATGGCAGGTCCTTCAACACATTAAAGGGGAGGAAAGGCCGCTTTGCAAGGGGTTGCTTAATGATTCTGAAGATGCTGTCATTGCTGCCAGGGCCACGGTCCCCCACGCTCCACAGATGGGGCTGTTCCAACCTCAGGAGTGCTTGCAGAGCTCCCTGCAGCCTCCTGGAGAGGGGTTCTCGCTGGACTGATAGAAGGAGGCCCACAATCAGCCCTGCCTCCATCTCCCACAGGCTCCTCTGCAGAGCCCTTCCATAGTGGTTGGCCCTGGGGTGAAGCATCTCCAAGGGTTTCAGCCAGCAGATGCTCAGAAGCTGTTTTACTGCCATATCTCTTGGGGAGAAGGAGGCCTGGGTATGCATCCCGGAGGAGTGGAGGTGCCCAGCAGCTGCAACCAGGCTTGCTGCCCCTCCCGTGTGTTAGTGAACAGCAGGAAGAAGTGGCAACAGCTGCCAGACCCAATTCAGAAACTCCTGATGAGGCTGAAGGTGCTTTAAGGTGATGGAGACAGGGACAGAGACTGGAAGCCATGCGGCCACTTGCCCTGATCCTGATTTGAGTGCAGGTTGGCTATCAATGCATGGAACCAGTGGGCCAGTCCAGAAGCAAGTGAGACCCTTGGATCCAGGTGCCAGCTGTGTTGGGCTCTCCATCCCTCCTCCTCCCACCTGAGCATACCCAAGCACCCTCCTCGCATCACCCAATACCCAGAGTGACTCCAGGCTCCTCCCAGCAAATATCCCAGTCCAACATCCACTTTACCACAATGCCTCCTTCTATAAGACCCAAAAGTTGCCTGCCACCAGTACTAAGATGAGATGCACCATCCTTCAGATGCTTGTGTGGCACTTTGTGGCATCAGAAACAGTATTTGCTTACCTTCTCTTCAACCCCCCCAGTAACTACAGTTGAGCTGAAACATCATTTCAGATCTGTCAGTGCTAGGCTAAGCAATTATAGTTTAATCAGGGCCAGCTCAGGAACTCTCTCCCCTTCCCAGTGCTGTCAACTGGGCATGTTTCATGAGCACTGAGTTCACTTGGAAAGGGAAAAGGATCATTAAGGAGGATTGTACCTAGGAAAGCTACCGATGGGGTAAAGTCCAAGGAGTGCTTTATGCTGCAGGCTGATCTCCAACAGACTGCACAAAGCATGAGTGAACCTGGTAAAGGGGCACCATATTTAACAGTCATATGCCCGCAACTTATATATATACATATATACACGCACACACATATCGAGGAAGCACTTGGATTTACTTACATCATTGGGAATGGTGAGTTCATGAGTACTGGCCGGGGGACTGGCATCCAAACCTGGGCATATGCAAGGGAAAATGGTTATAGCTTGCAGAGGCAGTGTGGTGGAGCTCTGCTGCTTTCCTGCAACAGTCAACACTGCAAAGGCTGCATCCTGTTCCAGGGCTGGGAGGGGAAGGGGATCACACACTCTGGTACAAGGAGGAGGAAGATGGTTGCTACCTGATTCTGCTGGAGCTGGGTGCCAACTTTCCCTGCATTCCTCAAGCTGGCCTCGCAGGTGCCCCCCATGAGTTCCTCACTTTCCACCCTCCATACTTCCACTGGGAATGGCTTCAGAGGAGGGTGCGTTACAGCGTAAGGTTGCAGCATTGCTGGAGAGGGTCTGACAGAGGTGGGAAAAGCACCTTCCCTCCTCCACACAGCAGCAACCAGCCTGCTGGCTGGGAATCCCAACCCTAGAGGCAGACAGCCTGCCAGCGGAAGGGCTGTCCACACTCCCTTCAGCCCCCTCTGGACACAGCAGCACAGAACCACTTAGCTATGACAGCAGCTCGCTGCCACAAAACTTGTTTCCTGGGGGAATCCAGCAGTGCTAGCACAGAGCAGGCTGCAAAGTACTTTGTAAGTTAAAGCCCCACAGACTTAACACACTGAATTTAAGCCAGACTGCTAAGACGTGCATGGTACCTGGGCCCAGGACTCATGGTGCCCCAAGGGAGTAACTCCCAAGGGAAAGCACAGCAAACAGTATGGAGATTTAAAGCCTGCTTCCCTACAAAATTACATGGCAAGGAGTGAAGGCAACAATACGCTTCTTCCCAGCCTCTCCTGCACCAGGGAGGGCACTCTCCTCCATGGTGGGAAAGGCTGGAGTCAGCAGACTACCCTGTGTGTGCAGCTCCATGGGTAAGAGGAAAGCATGCCATAACACTCCTAGGCCAGGTCAAAACCTGCCTCTCCCATAGGTTTCCATAGGTTTTCACCTCACTGAGGTTTTCACCTCAGTCCTGAAGCAGGGATGTCCTATTGCAAATCTGCAAGACAGATATCTTGCAGATGTCTGCAGTCTGGTGGCTAACAGAATTTGCAGTAATTACAAAAAAAACCCCACAACCTTATCCATATGATATGAACTATCAAGCAAGGCTAAGAGCAGTGTGTGCGAGAGTCCAAGACACTTGTGCAGAATAGGCGGGTGAGGAGAAAAGAAGTACAAGAAGACTGGAAGTGCTGGGCTGCTACAACACAAGACAGCAGCAGCACTGAATTCGTAGTCACCCAATACAGCAGGGCTCCCTCATGCTGCATGGCACTATGCCACTGCCTTGACCACGCTAAGCAACTCCTCCAAGCAATGGCCAAGTTTTGCTGGTCTGCATTTCCATCAAGGCCCTCTACACAGCAGAAGAGGAGCTCCCCTCCAGTTTTTCCAGCAACAGCCACATAACTTTTAAAACCCAGCAGGTCTGAACTGATGTCTGTCTGGGTACCAGCACTGTCAAAACAAGATTTCTAAAATATTAAAGCGAAGATTTATGTTGCAATCCCATTTCAGCATTACCCCTAGAAAGAAGAATATCAGGTATCTCCAATGTGCTCTTGCATGATTCCTATGCTTTCCAAAATGCAGTTTCCCAGCTGCACCTGCCTTACAGAGACGCAACACCTGAGTATATCATGCAGGCATCTGCTTGCAGGAGGTCTCTTTACCACATTTTTCACTTGGGAGCACACAGAAGAGGGGAAATGCAGCAGATGGGGATGTAAATCCTCCACTCAGCAGCCCTTCACCCTCCTTCACCTCTGCTGGGTGTACTAATGCCAAAGCCTGCACAAAACAGCTCCTGCCCAGGTTTTAAACAGCGGGCAATGCTTAATGCTGACTTTACAGCACACTGCACTAGAAGAGACATTTCACCAGCCCAGGGCTGTCTTTTATGCCAAGCCTTCTCAAAGTCGAGGGACAGATGGACTGCACCTAACACAAAGACATGTCCCCCAGGGCACAGGTGTCCTCACCTCTCTGCTGCTGAAAGCCGTGGCACTGCATCACCCCATGCATCACGATGGCCATAAAGAAATGGCTGCATCCTTCTCCAACACCTGGAGATTATTTATTTTAGCATACAAGATCCCCCCCCTCCGATACGCACATGCAGTCCCCACGGCTGTAATGGGAGGAATCCATGTGCTGAGCCAGGGAGGGATTAGCGCCATGCGTGATTGCAAAAGGCAAAACAGGGCACGCAGAAAACAAAGATGTGCAAGTTGGTATCATTAAATCTATTTTTGCTATAGTCTTGTGGGGTCTATTTACTCGGGCTACATTTGCTTTCATAGTGAGGTGATGTCTCCAGACTCTTTTGAGGCATGCATGTGATGCACTCTGGCTGGCCGCGGAGCACCAGGAGAGGTCTGACTCACATCACCTGTGAGCCACTAGGTCTCAGGATAACTCCTCTAAACAACAGTAGGTTATAAAATATAAGCACATTTGGCAAATGTGGATGAATATGCATGTAACCATACAGGTTAGGGGCTGGCCTGCTGGAGAGCAGCTCTGTGGAAAGGGACCTGGGACTCCTGGTGGACAACAGGATGACCATGAGCCGGCAATGTGCCCTTGTGGCCAAGAAAGCCAATGGCATCTTGGGATGCGTCAAGAGGAGTGTGGCCAGCAGGTCGAGGGAGGTCATCCTCCCCCTCTACTCTGTCCTGGTGAGGCTGCATCTGGACTATCGTGTTCAGTTCTGGGCTCCCCAGTTCAAGGACAGGGAACTGCTGAAGAGGGTCCAGCAAAGGACTACAAAGATGATTAGGGGACTGGAGTATCTTTCTTACGAGGAAAGGCTTGGGTCTTTTTAGTCTAGAGAAAAGAAGACTGAGGGAGGATCTTACCAATGCTTATAAATATTTAAAGGGAGGATGCCAGGAGGATGGGAACAGTGTTTTTTCGGTGGTGCCCAGTGATAGGACAAGAGGTAATGGATACAAACTTAGGAAGTTCCATCTAAACATGAGGAGTAACTTCTTTACTTTGAGGGTGGCAGAGCACTGGAACAGGCTGCCCAGAGAGGTGGTGGAGTCTCTGACTCTGGAGACATTCAAAACCCGCCTGGACACCATCCTGTGCAACCTGCTGTAGGTGACCCTGCTTTGGCAGGGCGGTTGGACCAGATATCTCCAGAGGTCCCTTCCAACCCTGACCATTCTGTAATTCTGTAGTTCTGTGATATTTGACATCAAAATTTCTCCAAGATTACAGCCATGCTTTGGCTCCTCAGGGTCCTGTCCCACTAAAAATGCAGCTCACCCCGAATGGCTTGGAGATGGCTAAAACTGTCTTGTTTCTGTTCCCACAGGAATTTTTCTCCTGTTTCTGAGCAAAGTTTATGCAAAATTAAATGAAAGAACAAGGGTGATGACTCTGATGTCTTTCCATTACACGGATGGCAGTTATACACAAACATAAAAAAAACTAGGCAATAAACTCCAGGCACTTTTCTTTTGACATGCTTTACAAAGGAGAATGGCAGGCACAGTGCTGCTTGGTCTCTCCCTGCCCACCAAGAAAGTCTTCTCCACAAATACCACAGTTTATCTAGGAGCACAACAACGGCACAGTCCTATTTAAGAAATATATTTCAACAGAAGCCTGCTGATTTCCCTGTAGCTTTGTGTTTTACCTGATGATTGGCCCATCAGATTTTGAGCTTCTTCGGAGGAATGTAAGGGCAGCTTTTCTCCTGAAGAGCAAAGAAGAAACAGATTTAATGCTTTTGCCTTCAAGGAGATAAGCAATGTCACTTCATCTAGAAGCTCAAAATATGATGAACATACTGTCAGAAAAGGCATTTCCAACTGGCACTTTGACGACCAAGTAAACAAAGGTACTTTAAGTATCTCCATCCCCTGTGCTCTATCTGCTTCCCAAGTCACTGTGAAAACACCAGCCTTGGGGACGAGGCTGCTGAGCCATGCCACGTCTGGCTGTCCTCCCGTCCACGCGGCTCCCTGCGGCCGCAGCTCCTTCCCATCGCTCTCCCCAGTGCAGGGGTAGCATCCTGCCTGGCTCAGCGATGCTCCTCGCAGATGTTGTTGCAGCATCCCTGGCTGGTGCCAAGCCGTTACCCCTGGGAAAGTGGGGATGTACCACCAGGGTCCGGATCAGCGTATGGCAGGGGATGCTACCTCCTCTGGGCAGGGAAGGATGGGACTGGCACTCATCGCTTCTGGTGGGAAAGCCAGCAAAGCTGGGAGCAAGGTAAGCATAGCTTCACAGGAGCAGTCCAGGCGTACACGGTTAACAGCTGAGAGCTTGCCTGTGAGGACCGTAACCCCCAAAACATCTGTCCTGTCTCCCTGTTAGCCTTTCCCCGTGGACACTGCAACTTCAATTTTACTTGCCCTGCTTGTTTCCATTAAATAGCATGAGTTTAGAAAGAGAGAGAAACTCTACAGGTAAGAAGAGAAGGATATCTAGAAAGGGCGTGTGGGTACGTACCAGGGAAAGCGGGGGTGGTCTGTCCAAGGGGAGTAAAGGGGGTTTGCTGCATAGCCAACTGGTGGAGCTTGGTCAACTGCTGAGGGGTAGGAGGGACATTAGAGCTAAGAAGGTTATTGTCATAGAGTACAACAAGTCACACCAAAAATCAAGAACAAAATTATAATGGAAGAAAAAAAAGAAACAAAAAAAAACCAAAAACAAACCAGGAAGCCATGATGAGACATGGCAAAAACATTTGCAGAAGGACTTGGCCTGGGTAAAACGCAATAAAGCCCAAATCTTTTGCAGAAGTGCTTGGTCAGGGTCTGAAGTACAATACCAGCAAGAAGCCCATTCTTAGTTTCCACCCCTCTTCAGACAGTACAGGTCCTTCACCGCGAGCAAGCGGCCGCCTCAGTGAATGGCTGGCTCCTGCAGCAGTGGCAGGGCTCCTGCCTACAGTATTTCCAGCCACTGCCTTCTCCCCTGGGGCTTTGCAACCTGCGACCAGAGGCTGCTGCTCGCTTCATGGTAGCTTTAGAGTAAAGGAGCAATCTCAAAGGCACTGTCAGGCTGGTGGCCATCATGTGCCAGCAGCCAGAAGACCCTCTTTGTGCTCCATCAGGACCACATGCCCCTGCAGCAAAAGTTCTCGTGCTGTGCCTCTGATGGGAAACACCTCTGGGAGACAGACAAACTGCGCCTCTTGATGCCAGCTTGTCATGAGCGCAAGCCCGTTAGCAGTATGGGGAAATAGGGGCTTCAGCCATGACCAGTAGGTATTTCAGATCCTTGTATCCCTTCATGTGCTGGGTAGCTATTTATGCCCCATCAAGAAGGAGTTGCATAGAGAGGAGTTTGTTTGGAATACATTTTGTGCTCTGTTTTACTGCTCCAAAGTAGAAAATAAAAACAACAATAAAACAAAAGAAAACAAATCAAACTGGGCTGAAGTCTAGCAGGGAGCAGGAGGGAGGGTCTTTATCACCTCCTACTCAGTGATTTCACAGGTGCTCAGAGGGTTGTCAGGATTGCATCATCCCCCAAATGCAAACTGCTCAATTCATCCATCCCCTCCCCAGTGAGGAAGAGGCAGGAGTTAATATTTCCACATTTTGGGGGAAACAATACTTAAAAACCTCCCTGCTCCTGCAGCATGGCTGGGGAAGGAGCACAGGAAGGTCTGGCCAGCAGCAGTGAGGGGAAAGCACTGGAGAGAGCAGACCCAAGGGGCTGAGCACATCAGGGGAGAGACTGAAGGGAGATAGTGGGGAGGTGAAACACCTGCAAGTCCCTGGAGGGGTACCTGAGGGAGCCCTGCCTTGGCAGAGATGTGAGGACTTCTGGCCTCCGCTGGCTTGGGGGAGAGGCCTCACCACCCCAGGAGAAGAGGCACGTGCACATCTCTCCCTGTGCAGCATTGAAAATAAGCTGAGGGCGTGCTATGACGGGTTCCTGACAAAACACAATCAGGTCCGGGCAGGACCAGGCATCCCACTGTTTTTTAATTTAAGAACTTTCCTGTTTTCTACCAAATTAAACCCAGGAATG